AGATATATTCGAATTTCTTGAATTTATTGCCAACTAAAGCTTCATTCAGAACTTCGAACTTAGTGGAATAAATTAGTGGTTTCATTTATACTTTATACTTAAAAGTTTACGATCATTTGCAATGAAATACAATAAAAATAAATAGAATGTCCTAGCAGCAGCTTGCGGTGGTTAGATGTATCTTCAGATAAAGCCTTACAATAAGCTTATAAATCAATAAACTTTTTTATTTCTAACCACAATTTTTCTTGACGGATGACGATCAAAAGCCAAAATTACATTACTCGCAAATTTTGAAGCATAATGCGTGGAAAAGTTAAAAGTTTGTTAATTTTTTATTACTAAATGAAAATTACTAACACTAATTTTGATGTTCTGAATGCTTACATCGAAACGCGAGGAACAAACTTCTACGCTAATTGAAACCACTAATTTATTCCACTAATTTCGAGATAGTGATTGAAGCTTAAACGATCAAAACGGGAATAGCCAGCTATTTCAATCATTGCTGATCTCACCGAATAACTGTTCTGAGATTCGTATATCATATTTAGGTTTAAAAATCGAGAAAAACGATCAAAACCACTCGAATAATCACAGCCGTTCAGATTTTCACATCGCCGCTTCATCGGCGCAAATAAATTAAACAATCAATTACATCAAAAACCGGTCCTTTGGGGCTCGTGGGGCCAAAGGGGCCCGGCACATCCAGCGAATTAGATCGCTCCGACGCGTCTTTTCTCTCCCAGAGGTGCCGTATGGTCATATTTTTCAGATTTCGCTCCCGGTCCCTTTTGCGCTAATGTATTAATCTGACACTTTGGAACATACGGTTCTATCTTTGTTTCGATCTGAATTATTCCTAGCGGGTGCTTGGTGATCGCCAGATCAGCCGTGAGTGAAAAAAAGGGGGCAATAATGTGTATTAAAACGTGTAAGTGGATGATGATTGCTGTCCGGATAAAGTGAGGAATGATGAATGAAAGTTTTTAGTTGCGAACATCTCATATATCATTAGTTGTAGACAGAAACTAGTATCAAATAAGTCGTTCACCGCACAATTCAATTAAATCTCCTTTCAAAAATTCTTAAATTTAAGTGTAAAACCACTTAGTAAATTCATAACTTTATATTTACAATATTTTTCCAAACGCTAGAGAAATGGTAACCTCTGATGTTTGGAGAAAATATTATAAACATGAAAATTTATGAATATTGCTAGTGGTTTTACTTTTAAATTTAAGATTTTTTAAAATTTGTGCAGTGTGAAGGGCTCAAATACAGACGAACCAATATACATTCAGTGTGGTGCCATAAATTAACAAATAGTCAGTAAAATGTAAAAATACAGTACAAATATCATTTTTTTTTATCTGAAAAAGTAAAAATTTTATAAGGGTGAGCCACTTTTGAGAAACACTCGGTAGAATCTTCACATTATATACCTACTTGAAGACATGTTTTTCATAATACATATGAATTTACTGAACCAAATTGAACCATAAATAAGTGCAAATATTTAGAGCTAGTAAATTTAGCTAAAAGAAATATATTCTCTCTTTGTCGTCAAGTCTTTTTCAAGTCCAACATAGCCAAATTATTTCAATCCCAATCTTAAATAAAATGTTTAAAAACTAAACAAAAAAATTGTTTTAAAAATTACTGTTTTTTTTTGTTCTTTCCTTCCCCTAAATTTCATCTACTTGCTATATTGTCAATTTATCCAATACATTATGATTATATAAAATAAATATATTTACTTATTTAACGCACTCTTTCTGTGTTGTTAAATCACCAAAAAGGGATTTGACTAAGTCTCTGTCAAACTGTAAACAAACAAAAATTTTATTTTTACATTTTAATTTGTTACCGTATAGGGTTTATTAGGTATATGTCATAAATTATGATTGATTTATTTATTCAATTATAGTTTTAGGTCATTTCCTGTTTCACCGGAAATGACTACAACTTTTGATTTTTAAATAACAATCGGTATTTTTTTACTTTATTAGATAGAAAATGACACTCTTGACATTTTTGACATTTTCGCTTAAAATAAAATCGTATTTTAAATTTCAATCTAGTGGCTTTGTTTTAAAAACACTAATTTTTAATCAAGGCTCCTTGAAAAAATAGATTTGATCGTCTAATACTTTTCGTGTCTTGTCTGGCCGGTTAAAATAAGCCCAAATTGTATTTTAATCATATTTCAATTTTTCCAAAAGGAATGAAGGTGGCTTATAAACCGCATGTTACAATTTCAAATAAACCATATGCGAAAATGTCAAAAGTTGACGTATGATATGTCATTCTATTCAGGGTGTCACTTTCTATCAAATAAAGTAAAAAAATACCGAGGATGCCATTTAAAAATCAAAAGTTTTAGTCATTTCCGGTGAAATAGGATGCGACCAAAGACAATTGAATATGTCAATCAATCCTAATTTATGTCATACTAACATACCAAATCTCGTTTTTTTTTACCTTTACTAAAAATGTTGGGGGTGAGACACTTTTGAGAAACAGCCGGTATACATAACATTAAACATAAAAAAAAATCAAAGACCTATTGTTTAATTTTTTCATAATCACATCACAAGTTACAACTCGACAATTCGTTGAATTGTTCTTGTATTGAGTTGAGTATAATACATAAAATTTTCCTGTCTAATATGGAATTAATAAAACCGCGTATAAGTGAACCACGTAAAATAAGACAATGATGTCACAAATGCAAACGCGTATAAACAAAACCGTGTATAAATTATGCCGCGTACAACGAGCGACACCTGTGCCGCATACAATTTTTTAAATCCTGCATATCTCACAATAAAACAGATAATATAATATAGTCAATATATTTTTAAAATCCATTCATGAAAACTGTTTTTCGCTAACAAAAAAAGCGAAAAAAAACCGTTGCTGATCTGTAACGCTATCGAGTCGAAAGGTATACACGGTGGTGGCAAAGAAAGCGTTCAAGGGTGGATTCTGGGGAACGGGGTGAGATCGAGCGATAGAGGGGTGTGTGGGGGGCACGGAAGCGATGCCGTAAGAGACGGACGGGCGGCCATCACTCCCCCCTTTTCGGGAGGAAGGGGGAGAAAATCAATAAGGGAAGAAAGTCAGTCGCTTTCGGTTCCGGAACGCTCGGTTGCGTCTCAGATTCGCGAAACGGACGATGAGCTTCGATCAGACCGCAAAATGTCGGAAAAAGGGCTCTTTTCACACAACACACCTTTAATTCTCTATAACTAGACACTGCTAGCGTTAATATTAAGATTTTTTTTATATCACAAAATATTAATATCTAATATTACTGCTTAGGGGTACGAAAAATTATGTAATTGAAATTTACTATGACAATATAAATTAGCTAGGATATGTTGATGCTGATTGAGTAACAGTGGCGAATAGAAAATTATAGATTTTAGGGGCCCTATGGAGCCCCCCTTAAAATCTATAAATTGGATTAAATGTTACGCTTTTGGGTTAAAAATTGCGCCCTAAAAAGCATATTCTACATTACTTTTTATTTGCCCCCCCCCCTAAAATAAATTCCTGTTGAGTAACAGATAAAACTGATAGAAAGTCTTATACTGGATATGTTTGTAAGCTTTCAGGTGGGCCTATATCATGGAAAATATCGTAATAAATACAACATAATTTAGATAGAGTGACAAATTGTATAGAGTAACAATTTTAATGACAATCAAAGTGCTATTAAGCTATTAATGAATCATAAGGGTAATTCTCGTGTATTAGATGTATTTTTTAAATAATCCAACCTTATACAAATTTTAAACTTTATCACATATCCTTTTTTTTTTAGTATTATATTGTTGGCTTAAAGATATTTGAACTAGTCTCCATATATGTGTGCGTGCTCTCAAACAAGCAACAAAGAAATCTCTAGAATGGTGAAAAATTTGATCAAGACAGAGACAGGCGAAAAATTTCAGAAAATTCGCCAAAATTCACAGGAGACAAAGCAGTACCTAATGGTTTGGTTGTTAATACTAATGTCTACTATCAGGGCGTTTTAAGCTTATTAGACATTTAATGCTGATGGAATTGACCGACGAAGCCATGTGCAGATTGTCAATCTGAAGAAAAAATAACACAACACATTTTATGTCAGTGGGACAGCCTGGTAAATGTGCGGCCCTTTGTAACGACAATGATGATCTATTGACAAAGAGCTAGCTATATGGAGGATTCAGTCTTCAAGTTATTAGACTTTCTGAAAATGATATGACTGTAAAACGTACCCTAGGGAGCAGAAGAAGACCACAAAAGGTCGCAGTAGAACAGCTAAGTCAAAAGTTAAATCCAAATCTAATCTAGTATCCATCTAATATATATGCTTTTATACATTGTCTCTATAAAATACTATGACTATATACTATATGTCACAATAAACTGTATAAAAATACTTTTATCTCACAATATATTTTGAATGTATTCAGGGAATTGAATAGTGAAATTGAAAATCCGGGCTCGTGTTAAATTTTAAAGTTGTTAAAGTTTGTTAAAGTTGATACCTGTCTCGAATTATCTAAAAATTAGGTTATAAAATTAACCTTGCCATTTTAAAGAAATGAGATAAAATGACAATAGGAAACTGGAAATTACTAAAAAAGATGGAAAATAACGATATAGAATTTTAGATATTTATTTAATTTCCTCAATATACTTGGCGCCCCACGTTGGGCAACAAAATATATATTACAGAATTATTCACACATCTGTCTATGAAAAGGACACAATGAAACGGGTTATGTGATACGGAAATTTCAGAATCGACTAATACGCATTACGTCGCACAGGAGATGGCCTCTATGTACGTTTTCCAGGCTCTTTTACCAGGCAGCATTTGGATAGACAGCCCGAATACGTTACAGACTTTTATACTGGAAAGCAACCATGGAATGTTTTTAAATATTATAGTATCTATTATTTTTTTCTATTATGAAAAATTAAACATTATTACGACTTACCTGTTTATTGATGAGACACTGGGCACATTATCCTGCGAACAAATTCCCTCAGCCAGCAATCTGTCCCTGATCTCCCATGCGAACATCGTCGGGTTCTCTCTTTTGTAGTTGGCTATCGCGTCCACTACCGGTGGTGTCGCCACCTTCGGCTTGGAACCGCCAATAACTCCGGCCTTAAAACTACCAGTTTCATAGTACCTAGAACAAGAAAGGTTCCATCTATTAAATATTTGGAGATTCCCTTTAAAACGGACTAGATTTTTTCAGGATATCTTTAAGTATCAAGTCGGTTTAAGAGCTCCATTTAAGCTTTGTTTAAAAAAAAGGAAAAATAATTTCGTAATTGTGATTCTAGTATTTTTCCCCTGAGGTATTAACTTTATTCAAATATACGTGCAACTTAAAAATACTAATATTAACATTCTTACTAGTTTCCATACATCATAATTCTCCATTGTTATAGATCTATACGTTCAATTACAATCAGACATACGTTGACCATATAGCGTTCAACAAAATCCGATACTTATCTCAAACGAAATAACATAAGGCATTGTCACTTTATATCACATGATAAAATTTCATAGGCTACGAACATGAGAGCGACACCTGAATAAACTCAAAGAGAAATGTACTTCGTGCTCTGCAGATAGCTGGCTTTTTATTTGTAAATTAATTTATGCTAAATTAATTTATTTGCCAGACCATATAAGTAAACGTTGAATTAGTAAACGTGCAGGCAGTATTAACATGCAGAAATCTTATTCGGTAGTTGAGAGATAGTTCAGCTACGTTTTTAGTATTGAAAATACTTCTGGCCGCGTTTATATGGGACCCATCTTTGAAAAAACGACATGCTAGAGCCGCATGGGTTCGATAACCTGCCTGTCAACACGTCGATAGTTTAGCCGGCGTTATAGGAATATGGAATAGGGCAAGGTCGTTCAAAGGCCGAAATGAGGTAGAAGTCGTAAATAAAATGATCCAAATGTTAAAATACGCTTCGAAGTGTTAAAAGTGTTGAAAATTGATTAAAATCTGTTAGGTTTAGGATATTGGTGAGTACTTTTTGAGTGTTAAGTCAAGTATGTAGGTGAGAGAAATATTATGTGATTTATTCGATTGTATAAGCCGTGAAGCTAATAGGGTGTGTGTTATATTTCATGAATATTTCATTTTATTTTGTTCGTAACTGTAAGTCTTGTAAGCTCACACTGTATTCGTAAACAATAAGGTATTATCCTTATTATGGTACTTACGCTTAATTTTATATGTTTGTATATAATTTTGTATTCTCTGTTTAATGTATTTGTGCACAATTTTTTTATATATTTCTTAATTATCATATTATTTAACAGTATCAAAAGTATTTTTATACAGGGCGGTAAAGTTTTCAGGAAAATCAGTTTTTTTTATAATAACACTGATACTATTTTAAATATCTTTATAAAATTTAGTACACGTCTTCCATGTATCAAGATGTATTTTTTCATATAAAAAAAGTTCTGTAATTTTTATTTCAGTTGCGTCCTTACGGGATTGGGTTAGTTAATTAAATTTAATTTCTTGATTTTCTTAAGAGTTTAATAGCGAAGTACTTTAGACTTTAAATGGATACATATGATAATATTCTTTTTTCTCCGAAATTATGGAATTGTCTAGTTGTAAAATTTATTGATTTTAGTATACTTTAGTTGTTATTAATATAAGTTAAAAAGACGCTAACTTCCTTATTGCATTTTTTAATTGATTAGCAATTTTTTTGATTTTATCCAGTGTGTAAGCCACCAATGCACATGTCATATTTTGCACCCATACCTCATATTTGTATTTACCACATTTTAAATTTATATGTATGCATGTATGTTATTTTTGATTGTAATATAATATTTGCTAAACTTTCTATCATGTTTTATGTATTTGTATATCATTTTTTATAACTCCCGAAATTTTCACATTATTTTACAGTCGACATCAAAAATAATGTTGTCTCTGCACTTTGACGTAATATACGTATAAGTATTTGTTAAAACAATACTCGCCTATTTTATAAACATCATTACTTGAAAAAAAGATACCTATTTGGCTTATTTAGGTATATCCACTAATTTACTTGCTCTTCGAAGTAAAATTCATTTTCGAAATACAAGACGTTTTTGAAAATGAAAATGTCTAAGCACCTCTCGTATCCCAACGATCTCATAACTTATCGAAAAGGTAAAAACTAATGGTCGTGTAAATTTTGAACCTATTGAATTATGCTAGAACTGCTTTTTCCTTGTAAATTATGACAGTTAAAACTTAATTTTTTTTTTAATTTCATTATCTCTTGGATGGTCTATTTAATCATTATCAATTTGTTATTCTCCTTTGTGGCTTTATATAAATAATATTTTTACATATTTTTACTTTAAAATTATAATTGACAACGACAAATCATAGGCTATGCTAGTCTTTGCAGTATAACTTAATTCAAAATTGGTCGCAAATTTCCTTAATTAACCTAGCATAAGTCGTAATACAGATTATATCAGTGTAAGAGTAATCAGATCGGAAGTCATCGGATACAAGTTGAATCGGATATAAAATGCAAATATAATATATAAATATCAAATCCAATAGTTCACGTGATGACTCTAATCAAATGGTCTGTGGTACCTTTTAAAAAATGGCGGATAAGCAAAACGGTTCATCGTTCATTAACTGAATCTTCGTTAAAAAAAATCTTAAATACTACAGAAGATGAAAAAAAAGCTAGAAAACTTAAATTAAACGTCGAACGTTGTCGAGCCTATAGAAATCGCAAGAAAATTGCTAAAGTTTTATCAGTAACTACAATCCGTACTTCTTTTTTGACCTTGGAAGATTTTAAAGGACCATCAGAGACAACAGGAACTATAAATCAGGAAGGTAAGTAATAATACCTAATATGAATATGGTTAATAAATATTACCGTGACTTACCACTGGTATATATACGGATATGGAAAACGTCTCGGAGAGCCAAGATAATAAAAATGATTTTCATAAGAAATAAGAAGTTTCTTATTCGCAGCATTTCAAAAATATTTTATGACAGGCCTCTGGACAGGCACACATGTCAAAGATATTAAAATTGAGGGGCTTAGAATCCTAATCCGGCGTCCATTTGTCGTTCATCGTTCCGTCAAACCAGTAAAATTGAAATATTATCTGTCATTTTTGAAATAAACCAATAAAATTGGTTAAAAACAACAAGAGACCACGCATGACGGATTTATATTTAAACCCATCCATAGCTAACTTAAAAAATATCGGAAACTTTTTTAAGTAAAATAAATAGATTGGTATGGGATGTCATCAGACGATGACAAGAAAAGTCTGTCTTACCTGAGAAAAAAAAAAGAGTATACATGTATACATCGATAATCTAATCATACTGGTAGTTTCGACCTTTAAACCGATATTAATTATTATTACGTTTACTTTCTTATTTTTCAGAATTAATATTAAAAAATTATAGGTACATACCGTTAAAATCAGAAATTTTGTTTCAGATTTATATTTAATTAATAAAGTCCAATGCAAGAAACAACATAATGAAACCACCATCACTAAGTGTCAAGATTTTATATTTATGGTTATTACCATCGTAGAACTTTAGAAAAATAATAAAACCTTTTTGTGACCAAATTTTATTTTTTACATTAATTTTTATTAATGTAATTTATTTTTGCTGCTTACCGCCACGACCTTACATTGCATGGTTTCTGTAACCAAGAAATAAATATCACAGTTCAGTAGTAAACATTATAAGGGTGACCGTAAAGTATCGAATAAGTTCATTTAAAATTAAGGGGTGTGTAAAAAAAAGTTTTTTTCTTCGACAACCGCCAACTTGTGTCTGGTATTTTCAATACGCCTATGATGGTTGCGCATGTTGCAAAATCTGTGAATTTTTGATTGTGTAAAGAAAATTTGACACAAAAAATGTTTTTTTTTAAATAATGGCATGACTTTTTTATAAATAGCATCATCAGATTTCGTCCCATTGCTGCCACAAGTCACTAACTTACTTTTTATTACTTCCGAGAAAAATGCGTCTAAAGATGAATTGCATTGCATAAAGATGTTATAGTTAGTAACTATTCGGTATTAAAATAAAACATAAATAGCCAGAAATCGTAGTTAATGACTTTTGCAATCGATTCTCCGCTTCAAAACATAGTTAGAGATTGAATTTGCTTGTTCGGAAAAATGTTAGTTAGTGACTTTTGGCAGCAATAGGACGATTTATTCTACCGCATCGTTTGATCGGTTCGTTCGCTGCTCATCTAAATCGTCAAACTTTTGCTGGATGCACCCTTTCTTCCCCGTGACACTCTAACGATGTTCGATGAATTAAGCTGTCTCATGTGCACATGTAGTCCGTGCACTTGCAGATCGGTGATAGGAATTATCAGCATCGAATTGGGACTAACGTCACACACTACAAACATGAAATGAACTTGCAATATTTAATGAGAACAAGTTGTAGTAGACAGGGTTCTTAGCTTTTTTAATAAAATAAGATTCTTTAACTTGCACCTTTAGATTGATGACTTCATATAGCCCAAAAAGAGTATTTTTTGCGTGGCTGCATTACATTTTTTTCCTAAGGTTGTGCACCCTCAAAGTACAAACCAATGCATTATATTATTAACTAGATATATTACAGTTGAGGGTTGGAATCTTGTTGGTGTTAAAACAACAAAATAAAACAATAATTTTTATTAAACGCCTCTATGTGTACCTATTTCTTTGGAGAGTTTATATTATTACGAATACAATGACCCAAAGCAATCAAATTGTTCGTAATAGTAACTCCAATCCTAATTAAATCAGTACTGTTTTCCATCGGGTCATCTAATAAACATGCGGTACCACACCGAACCACTTCTCTTTAATTCGGATGACCACTACCTAACTATTTTGACATACAAGGTGTATCAAATAAATTGGAATAATAAGCTTTTAACGACATATTGTATATGTTAGAGCCAGATTAGTTTTTAATAAGAATAGCTGGTTTATCATATTAATTCTGACTCTTTTATGTATCTGTGAGCAAGGCAGTGTTTCTGCCAAGTTGGACACAGTAGTCCCTGTAATTTTGTTGTGGACCTAACTATAACATATGTGAACAGTGGCGGATACAGAGGGGGGCCCATGGGCCCCCCC